TTTCATTTTCATTTCACTAAAAATATCATTGCTTTATTTCTTAGAGAATTTGAAGTAGTAGTAGTAGTAGTAGTAGTAGTAGTAGTAGTAGTAGTAGTAGTAGTAGTAGTAGTAGTAGTAGTAGTAGTAGTAGTAGTAGTAGTAGTAGTAGTAGTAGTAGTAGTAGTAGTAGTAGTAGTAGTAGTAGTAGTAGTAGTAGTAGTAGTAGTAGTAGTAGTAGTAGTAGTAGTAGTAGTAGTAGTAGTAGTAGTAGTAGTAGTAGTAGTAGTAGTAGTAGTAGTAGTAGTAGTAGTAGTAGTAGTAGTAGTAGTAGTAGTAGTAGTAGTAGTAGTAGTAGTAGTAGTAGTAGTAGTAGTAGTAGTAGTAGTAGTAGTAGTAGTAGTAGTAGTAGTAGTAGTAGTAGTAGTAGTAGTAGTAGTAGTAGTAGTAGTAGTAGTAGTAGTAGTAGTAGTAGTAGTAGTAGTAGTAGTAGTAGTAGTAGTAGTAGTAGTAGTAGTAGTAGTAGTAGTAGTAGTAGTAGTAGTAGTAGTAGTAGTAGTAGTAGTAGTAGTAGTAGTAGTAGTAGTAGTAGTAGTAGTAGTAGTAGTAGTAGTAGTAGTAGTAGTAGTAGTAGTAGTAGTAGTAGTAGTAGTAGTAGTAGTAGTAGTAGTAGTAGTAGTAGTAGTAGTAGTAGTAGTAGTAGTAGTAGTAGTAGTAGTAGTAGTAGTAGTAGTAGTAGTAGTAGTAGTAGTAGTAGTAGTAGTAGTAGTAGTAGTAGTAGTAGTAGTAGTAGTAGTAGTAGTAGTAGTAGTAGTAGTAGTAGTAGTAGTAGTAGTAGTAGTAGTAGTAGTAGTAGTAGTAGTAGTAGTAGTAGTAGTAGTAGTAGTAGTAGTAGTAGTAGTAGTAGTAGTAGTAGTAGTAGTAGTAGTAGTAGTAGTAGTAGTAGTAGTAGTAGTAGTAGTAGTAGTAGTAGTAGTAGTAGTAGTAGTAGTAGTAGTAGTAGTAGTAGTAGTAGTAGTAGTAGTAGTAGTAGTAGTAGTAGTAGTAGTAGTAGTAGTAGTAGTAGTAGTAGTAGTAGTAGTAGTAGTAGTAGTAGTAGTAGTAGTAGTAGTAGTAGTAGTAGTAGTAGTAGTAGTAGTAGTAGTAGTAGTAGTAGTAGTAGTAGTAGTAGTAGTAGTAGTAGTAGTAGTAGTAGTAGTAGTAGTAGTAGTAGTAGTAGTAGTAGTAGTAGTAGTAGTAGTAGTAGTAGTAGTAGTAGTAGTAGTAGTAATAGTAGTAGTAGTATATTTGTAGTTACTTTCTTTCGCCTGTTACTCGCAATTGAGCAGAGGCGGCTAACCATCATTCTCCAACCCAATCTGTCCCGGGCCTTTCATTCTAGTTTTATCCAATTTTCGTTTATTTTTCTCATGTCTGTCTTCATTTCTCGGCGTAACGTGCTCTGTAATCTTCCTCTTTTACTTTGACCTTCAGGATTCCATGTGAGGTCTTGTCTTGTGACGCAGTTGGGTGCTTTCCTCAATGTGTGTCCTATCCACTTTCAGCACTTCTTCCTAATTTCTTCCTCCGCTGGGATCTGGTTTGTTCTTTTCTATAGTAGGTTGTTTGTGATAGTGTTTGGTCAACGGATCCGAAGTATTTTGTGCGGACGACTGTTAATAAACATCTGAATCTTCTGGATGATGGCTTTTGTAGTTCTCCAAGTTTGTGCCCCATACAGTAGAACTGCTTTGACATTTGTATTGGAAGTCCTGACTTTGGTGTTGGTTGACAGTTGCTTTGAGTTCCAGATGCTCCTCAGTTGTAAATATGCTGCTCTTGCTTTGCCGATCTGCGCCTTCACATCGATATACAAATCATTCTACTCATATAATAATATATCAATGGAATTAGGACCATTTTAAGAAGATATCTATACATGATTCTTACAATTAGGATGGAGGGAATAGATGTATTTCTAAAATTTAAAAAAAAATTTAGAATACGAACAAATAATTAGATTAGTAAATAACCAGGAAATTGTTTGACTGCAAGATTCGAACCCAGGACCTATCGGCTTCGCACGCAAACGCTTAACCTTCCTATAGTAGTCAACATTTACTCACTAGTGACTGGTTTCAATAGGTATTTCCTGGAGTTCTAGTGAAGAGCAGAGACCAGTGGAGTTCAATTGGGTCTATTATCAGATAATAACTCACTGAAGACAATGGTGGATGTTTCGCTCTATTTCATGGATTGGTTGAAGTTAGATATTAACATCGTTGGATGTCGGTTCGGTAGTATGATTTGCAAACTGGTAACATCACTCCGAGAGGTCTATTTACTGTATTAAAATTCCTTCGGTTCGAAATTTCGACCTCATTCCGTTATATCTTAGTGAAAATAAAATTATGGGCAACTTCTGTCAACTAATAATGGACTAATACTATAAATATATTCTTATTGTATAACCATTCAGCAACTAGATTGTGTATATTCATTTTTGTGTATTAATTTTGATCTATAGACTATGATCATACGATTTACTGTTCTTAAATTATACTCAGTTTATTGATTACAGTCTCACCACAATCACTCCCACAGTCACATCTTGACTTCACCTTGTATAAATGTTATTTCCTATTGGATAGTGTGATGCGGTGGTGTGTTTGGCTAATATATAATCCAAGTATGTTTGAAATAAATGGTTAACATAATGGAAGCTTTTATTGGTGTTCTGGACTGAAGTGGATGGGCTAGGAGATCAAAAGAGCCGATAAGGAGATTAGGCTGTTCATAGTGATCGAACATTATTGCTTTGTTACAGTACTAATATTGTATAAGTTTTATTTCAATTCGCAGATATATCACGTGATAACTAGCTGGGTTTAAAGTCACAACACATTCAACATTTTCCTAATTAGACTTGGAATAGCGAAATGTTAAAAAAAATTATAAACAGTGGATTTTGGGTAGTAGGTTTTCTTAGTTGCTAGCTATGATTGTCATTATGTGCCTATAATTTCTAGATAGACTTACCAATACAATTTATTTGTTACAACATGGCATTCTCAGGATAAACATCTGAGCGATTTCTTCCTATTCATCGTTTCCATCATCCATTCAACTTAGAAATGGTTGAGGATTTAGATGGACAGACACTCAAGTCAATCAACAGGCATATCGAAGTCAAATCAATGTATTTACTAAGTGGAAAAATCATGAACAAACATAGAGTCAGGAATCATACCGTCAAAGAGAGAAACAATGAGAATAAATATGCATACAACAGTAGGTGCTTAAGATGAGAGATGACATAACAAGCTGTCAGTCATATATGGAGAAATTTGAGTACATCATATCTACCTGATGTTTGTTCTGATGATGTTCAGAATGACAATGGAACCTCCATGATTAAACCTTCCAGCCCATAGAATAAGTTTTCACCGAAATTATCTGCCTGAGCTAAAAAATCTCCACCATCTCAATATTCATACACAAAGTAAATGAATAAAACTATTCGAAAATAAAACTCGAACACAACGAATTAACCCCATGTTCAATACTATAGAGTTGTGGCTAAGTCAGCCTAATTTAAACTGTTTGTCGTTGAAATTCAATTGGTGTTGCTTTACTTGTATCTTCTCATTGTTATTTATGACTACAATTGATCAGTCTCTTATTGGCATATGTGCATCCTGTGTGGATTGCCTCGATATAGCCTTAAGTCACAAGCATTTTAAGCAAGGATGGATAATGGCTAGAAGCGAAATCCAGTTTGATGCGCGTGTCGTCCTATTTAAGACTCGTCAGCTGGATGTGCCAGCATCCAAGAGTTGATGTTCGCTCAGGGACTTGAATCCTTGTCATTTAGTATATATACTAGTGCTTTCAGGTTTTCCATGGTAGTCTAGCTCCAAATGACTCATGAATTCAACCATTAATTTGCTATAATATCCACAAAATTCCTCTCTCATCACATAGTATTGATTACTTAAAAGTTCGCATCGATGTTTAGAAAGAAACGCGCTTCCTGGATTCCACTGCTAGCCACTATTCATCATTGTTTAACTGAAAGACTATTTTCATCATAAACTGAAATTTAATTGGTGGATCGTTTGCAGCAACTAAACAATATTAATTCATTGCTTTGATCTGACTCTCAACTCTTCATCAGTAAACAATCATAAATGTACATGAGATGAAATTCTGAAACTTTATTTGTCTCAATTAATAGGCTAGTTTTAGGAATCCAAACAATATTTCAATGATCTTTACATTTATTTTCAGTCAATACACAATCTGGCATGAAATTCGTCTGATCCCATCAAATGTATCGTCCTTATTCTCAGCATGGTTGAAATCTGGAAATCACAGTGGAACTTCAGAAATTCATCTCGAAAAGATAATCGATAGCGTGCACATGACTACTGTTTATCAAGTTAATTAGTGGAAGTTGTGTCAGGGTTAAAAATTAAAAAAGAAACACATTGCAAACATATTGTAAACAGAGATGTCAATAAGGGACCGATCAATTACAGTCGTAAACATCAATGGGAAGATCCAAACAACTAATACAGAACGGAATAACAACCAACTATTTTTTCAGAAAGTACTCTCCAGATATCAGTCAACTGTTACATCTAGATTATTTTGTCGAAGTTTGAAAATATCAAAGAACTATCAACTAGTGGATTAGAATCAGTAGTGGTGAATTCCATAAACGTTATAAGAGCGAATATACAATCTACCAAATCTGTCAACCCTACATTTAAGCTGGTTAGATACATGTATTGTGAGGGTCCACATGACCAGAAACGTCCACCCTTTACTAAATGATACTGGGATGATGAGAGTCTTTTAAACCTGACCCCTAATCATAACTCTTAATAAAAGCAACAACTTTTCTTGATAAATCAGACAGGTTTTGTGGATATTATATAGTAATTCCAATGGTGAAGATCATGAGTCAGTTGAAGCTAGACCAACAGGGAAAACCTGAAAGCACTGGATGGCCGTTTCGTCCAATTGTGGGACTCCGCAGCAGTGTGCATCCACAACCTCGCTCCCTGCGAGATCCGAACCCAGGACCTACTGGTTTCGCACGCGAGCACTTAACAACTACACCAGTGAGCAAACCGGCATCCAACCATGTTAATTTCTAACTTCAACTAATTCACAAAATTGAGCGACAAGTCCACCATTGTCTTCAGTCAGTTAATATCTCACAACAGACCTGGTTGAACTCCACTGGTCACTAAGTCGCTAAAAAAACGCTTACCAGAAAAAAATTATTCAAACCTTTTAAACTCTGCCCTGGGGATCAGAAGGTCTTCATTTAGAAGAATTATGACGCCTCATGATGAAAGCCGAATTCCTTCGGAAGTTACGAGGCCGATGCCTCTTCTGACAACCAGAGCGATCATTTATTTAGATACATGGAATGTTCGTTTAATGTGGGACACCGGGAGGGCTTTCCAAATTGCTGTAGAAATGAGAAGATACAACCTAGAGGTGCTTGGGATCAGTGAAACACATTGGACGCAAGTTGGACAACAACGACTAGCTTCAGGGGAGCTTCTGTTATACTCCGGACATGAAGAAGAAAATGCTCCACATACACAAGGGGTTGGATTGGTACTATCCAAACAAGCACAAAAGGCACTTATGGGATGGGAATCTCATGGACCAAGGATCATCAAAGCCTCGTTCAAAACAAAGAAAGAGGGTATTTCAATGAACATCATCCAATGCTATGCGCCTACCAACGACTACAATGAAGACGCTAAAGATCAATTCTACAATAGGCTGCAGTCAATCATCGAGATTTGCCCAACAAAGGACCTGACCATTCTGATGGAAGATTTCAACGCCAAGGTTGGAACGGACAACGCTGTATATGAAGACATCATGGGACGACACGGACTGGGAGAAAGAAACGAAAATGCTGAGAGATTTGCAAATCTATGTGCCTTCTATAAGCTGGTCATAGGCGGCACCATATTCCCACATAAACGCATACACAAAACCACATGGACTTCACTGGATCACACCACGCAAAACCAAATCGACCATATTTGCATCAACAAAACGTTCAGGAGGACGATGGAGGACATGAGAACCAAAAGATGAGCTGACATAGCATCAGATCATCACTTGCTGGTCGCCAAGATGAAATTGAAACTCAAGAAGCACTGGACAACGGGGCGGACAATATCACAAAAGTTCAATACGGCCTTTCTTTAGGATACTAACAAACTCAAGAAATTCAAGATAGTCCTCAGCAACAAGTTCCAGGCCTTTCATGATCTACTCAATGAAGAAGGAACTACTGTGGAGAGCAGCTGGAAGGGGATCAATGAGGCAATCACTTCAACATGGCATGAGGTCCTGGGTCACAAGAAGCACCATCACAAGGGATGGATCACTGTTGATACACTGGATAAGATTCAAGAAAGGAGGAACAAGAAGGCAGAAATCAATACCAGCCGAACAAGAGCAGAAAAAGCCAAGGCACAAGCTGAATACACAGTGTCGGCTCACAAACAATTGAAGAAATCAGCATGACCATCAGACAAATCAAGAGTGGCAAAGCAGCAGGACCGGACAACATCCCAGCAGAGATACTGAGAGCAGACGTAGCGGCAACTGCAAGGATACTCCACATTCTCTTCAATAAGATTTGGGATGAGGAACAAGTACCAACGGAAGGGAAAGATGGACTTCTGATCAAAATACCGAAGAAAGGCGATCTCAGCAAGTGTGATAACTACAGGGGCATCACTCTCCTCTCAATACCGGGAAAAGTCTTCAACAGGGTATTGTTAAACAGGATGAAAGACTGCGTAGACGCCCAACTTCGTGACCAACAGACATGATTTCGTCAGGATAGATCATGTACAGACCAAATCGCAACACTACGGATCATTGTGGAACAATCAATTGAATGGAATTCACCACTCTACATCAACTTCATTGACTACGAAAAATCATTTGATGACGTGGACAGAACAACACTTTGGAAAATTCTTCTGCACTACGGCGTGCCTCAGAAGATAGTCAATATCATACAGAGTTCATATGATGGATTACACTGCAAAATTGTGCATGGAGGACAGTTGACAAAGTCGTTCGAAGTGAAGACCGGTGTTAGGCAAGGTTGCTTACTCTCACCCTTTCTCTTTCTCCTGGTGATCGACTGGTTCATGAAGACGACAACGTCTGAAGGGAAGCACGGGATACAATGGACATCTAGGATGAATTTCGACGATCTAGGCTTCGCAGATGATCTGGTTCCTCTATCACAAACGCAACAACAGATGCAGGAGAAGACGAACAGTGTGGCAGCAGCATCAGCAGCAATAGGTCTCAATATACACAAAGAGAAAAGCAGGATTCTCCGATACATCACTGAGTGCACCAATCCAATCACAATTGACGGAGAAGATTTGGAAGATGTTAAAACCTTCACGTATTTGGGCAGCATGATTGAAGAAAGTGGTGGATCTGATGCCGATGTGAAAGCGAGGATCGGCAAAACAAGAGCAGCATATTTACAACTGAAGAACGTCTGGGACTCAAAACAACTGTCAACCAACACCAAAGTCAGAATTTTCAATGCAACTGTCAAGACAGTTCTACTGTATGGGGTAGAAAAATGGAGAACTATGAAAGTTATCATCCAGAAGATACAAGTGTTTATTATCAGTTGTCTATACAAAATACTTCAAATCCGTTGGCCAGACACTGTCAACAACAACTTACTATAGGAGAACAAACCAGATTCCAGAGGAGGAAGAAATCAGGAAGAAGCGCTGGAAGTGGATAGGACACACATTGAGGAAAGCACCCAACTGCGTCACAAGACAAGCCCTCACATGGAATCCTCAATGCCGAAGGAAAAGAGGAAGATCAAAGAACACATTACGCCGAGAAATGGAGATGGACATGAGAAAAATGAACAAGAATTAGATGGAACTAAAAAAGAAGGCCCAGGACAGAGTGTGTTGGAGAATGCTGGTCAGCGGCATATGCTCCAAAGGGAGTAACAGGCGTAAGTAAGTAAGTAAGTTTAAATATCTAAGAACCATGTTAATTTCTGACTTCAGCTAATTCACAAAATTGAGCGACACATCCACCATTGTCTTCAGTCAGTTAATATCTCACAACAGACCTGGTTGAACTCCACTAGTCACTACTTCTCACTAGAACTCCAGTATATACATCCTGAAGCCAATGGATACGCACTGCTGAGGAGTCCCACAATACAAGGGAACGGCCGTCCAATGCTTCCAGGTTTTCCATGGTGGTCTAGCTTCAACTGACTCGTGATCTTAACCATTGAAATTTTCTTGATACTTCTTTTGTTTGTTTAAATCTTCTGGCCTCATCAGTGTTTTAGTATAGGCTTTAAATAACTAAGAACTGAGAATGTGAAGTTGACTAGATGAAAATAAGTTTTAAAAACGTGGACCAATGATGCACATTAATCAATAATTGACGATATTTCCATAGCCTTTAAGGGTATTTCACAGAGACAAGTGCATCGTGAATAAAACACACGCTAAACAGAGCAACTATTTTAAACAAAATGCTTTATGACATATCACTACTACTGATTATTAATAAAGTAGTTCATCTTCTTAGATAAAATTCTATGAAGTGGTGTTCAGAAGTTGATTAGCCTTTGGTTATTACGTTGATTAAGTAATCACCGTTTATGGTTTCTTCGCAATACTTTTTGAGATTAAGTTTGTTTTGGATACGATGGGATTAATAAATCTTCATTTCGCTTAATATCTTATTTTGGATTGTTTAACTTACGACGTTTGATCAACTGAATAAACTCAGAAATTAAATGAAATAAATGATTAATATGGTGGAGAAGATTTGTAGTTCAGATGGATGATTTCGGTGGAGTTTTGTTCTCTGAGCTGGATGGTTTGGTCGTGGAGTATTCACAGTTCTTCAGAAGAACAATCAAAGCTCGTTGTATATGATATGATGGAAAGAAAAGTCCATTTTTGATTGATTTTTACTCATTATGAGTTTTGTTCAAGATCACTACCTTTCTGATTCAATGTGATGATTATTCGGTGTAGTATTTCTTTTCTTTTCTCATATGATATTTTATTCTGTATAATATGCAATATTCTTGTATTCCATTGACATGAACTATACTCAGTATGTGATTTGTTATAACTTCAAGTATTTTCCATATATGCGATTTCATCCTAATTATTAATCAAAATAGGTGTACAATCAATATATAAATGAGTGTATTTTTTACTAGAATCATCATCGTCGTCGTCGTATTCATCTAAAATGCACTCACTGACATAATTTGCTTTTCAGAGTCAATGTTATGAATTATTGACGCTCTATTCAGTAGACTAAAAAGTAACAGTACACTATCTCATTGGGTTATGTTATACTATTTTCAAAATCGTTACTCTTGTCCAGTGACTAAGTAAAAACCCAGATTGAAGTAGGATTACACCAACTGTGGTCAGCTAGGCTAGACTAACACTCAAATGATCTGAAAACATTGATTTCCAAGCCAAATAATTTGATTGTAAATTAACTCCATTTTATTCAGTTTCAAGTGAACTGGACTGCTAGTTGATTCGAGAGTAAGGTTCAAGTTACTCGAGTTTGCATTTCAGTGATTTATCAAGTGATCATGATTGAGTTTGACATATTAACCTATAATCACTTAAAAAACAACCGATGAGTGACTCGCACTCAAGCACTAAAATCTTGTACATGGTTTCTGTATCGACTTGTTCAATTCAGTCAGTCGGTCAAGTGTGACGTAAAATCCGGTTAAATTTGCCATTACCTCGTTAACACAGCGAAATGGAATTTTCTGAGCAAGTCCAAGAGTAGTAGAGACAGTAACAGTAATAGTAGCAATACAAAAGATTAGGCATCGAAAGAATTATTCAAATTATTGAAGTAAAAAAAATTCATAAGGAATTTAGAAACTTATCATCTAAGGAAGGACAAAGAGTGGATGTACATGCATAATTTCAAACGCTTTTGAACCATGTCACTTAGAAACTTGAACCATCAGTTACGATAATAACGACGCTCCAAACCGAGTAGTCTACTAGTCAATTCAACCGTCAGTAACTACATGGACTGATGCCGTGTTTTATTTCACCCCACTAGCTTACTTCCGGCCTACATCGCCCGTTAAGGTAGACGGCGGTTGTGCATACATAACACATGTTTCAATCACCTCGGTGAACATTTACTACCTCGTCGACCGATTCCCCATACTTTCCTGATACTCTATTCCAAACCCAGGGATTGCTTACTAGATGGTGCAAGAATACGCAAACAATGCTTCGAAGACATTTATGGTCTAACACTAATAACCTACGAATATCCTCCATTCTAAATGTCTACGATGGAAAAATTATTAGTACTTCCACCTCATCCTGTGATAAAAGAGCATATTGATCCGAATCAGTTTGCCTACAGGTGCAAAAGTGGCACCTTGTATTCTGTTGCTGTTCTGCATCACAATATAGTGTTCAACCTAGAAAAGGGTAAGAAGTATGTTAGATGAGCTTTTCTGGACTTTACTATACTTTGATTGTATACCAAGACAACGCTTAATTAACAAGATAATCAGCGTCAACACCGACACCTGGATAATCAACTGGCTATGTCCCTACCTCTCTGGAAGTAAACAGTACACTGTATTTGGAGGAAAGTGTCCAGAGTCTCTACTGTCTCATGAAGGTGTACCACAAGGAGCTGTTCGCTCACCTCTTCTTTTCTATTTTTTCTGCATGATCTGCCATCTTCCACAGAGAACACTTTTGTGAAATATGCAGATGATCTCACTGTATGTATGCCTATCTCTTCCTTTTTACATCCCATAGAAATGAATGAGTTTCTGTCTTGTATTGATTGTTGGTCTGTTGATAATGGTCTTATACTGAATTAGTCTAAATGTCAAGCTGTTAACGTTAGCATGAGGCATGAATGGCATCTAAACACCATTTTGAGATCCCATAATGCTTGTGCCATTGGAGACTCTTTGATAAACAGTGTCGAAGGTCAAATATCTTGGTGTCTCCTTTTCCTCTGATCTCTCTTGATCTTCCCACGTTTTATTATTATCGAAGAAGGTTTTCCGTCTGATTTACTACATAAAGAGATTGCATGCTCTTGGGATTACTCATCATTTACTCTTACAATTTGTCAATTCTTGCATATTACCTATTATTCTTTACTGTTCTCCATTATTCTTTCCCGGGCTTTTGAGAGAGGTCTTTGCTGTATTGAGGAGAGTGCTGAAGGCAGTTAGCAAGGTGTGTGGTGAATCCTTCGAAGTCATAATTAATATGGTTGTGGATAGACATCCAAAGTCATGCAAACTCCTGGCAGGTGTTATTTTATCAGAAACTAACTATCCCCTTCACTCTTATCTTTCTCCTTGTATATCTTCTGGTAGAACGAGACATCAATACATTAAAATCCATGCACGCAAGCAAAAGTATAAAAGTTCTATAACACCTTACCTAGCAAATATACTTTGTGAAAAACAGGTTGTTAGAGTTAACCTAGTCAATAACCTGAATTCTTAACATGTCTCTAATTTGAAAGGTTGTAGAGTTCTTTAGATTTGTTAAACCTTTTACTGTCTTTGTCTCTGTTTTTTGTGTGTAAGAAACTTGTTGAAATACCCTGTGCTGAGAATTTCTAAATTGTACCAAAATATAGTATTGAATAAAGCCATTAGTAGTAATAATAATAAACCCCATTGATTTTGAGATGGTGGAGACTTGTAGCTCAGGTGAGTGATTTTTATGGAGTTTTGTACTCTGAGCTGGATGGCTTGGTCGTGGAGCTTTCATCGTTCTTCTGAACGACATCATCAGCACAAACTTCAGATAGAAGTGAAGTGTTCGGATTTCTTCATATGTGTTTCGCAGCTTGTTCTGTACATCTCGACGTTGATTGGTTCGTATTGACCTTAAATTTGTCATTGCTTACTTCTTTGTTTTGGTTGTCTCCCATCCACTTGATTTTTGTTCTTATATTTGTGCATAATTTTCCTGATTGATTGATAAACTGGATCTATTTCAATGTGCTTGTTGATTGACCTGAGTACCAAGCTGCCGATCGTATCTAAGAAGTTACGAAATCAGTCAAAGAAAAGCCTCAAACGACTCAGAATGACATAACCGAGTTATGTCATACACTTACGCGTTATCTTCATTTTCGTAACAACCGTAAGCAATCACACACCCCACGTAGAAGCACCTCACGTAAGCGATCTGTCTCTAGACCACGAGAGACGGATAACCCCGACTGGTGCTGGTATCACAACCAGTATGGAAAGTCTTCCAGAAATTGCAGAAAACCCTGCAATCTTCCCAACTCAAAACCGACTGTCTCGGAAAGCAACTCGGGAAACTCCCAAGCCGGTACGTGTTAACAGCCGTAGCCAACGAACATAGCCGTCTGTTATACGTCACAGATGTGACAACGAGAGTTCGCTACCTAGTCAAAACTGGCGCAGAATTTGATTGACCTGAGTACCAGGCTTCCAAAAATTCTCTGGTGTTTCTGGAATTTCCTCTGTTCAAGATTCCCACATTTTTCCAATCGAATGAGTGTCCGCAGTTGTCCACATGTATTGATATAAGTGAGGAAATATCATAACGTCTGACTGCTAATTGATGTTCATGTAGGCAAGGGTGAAGGGAGCGTCCGCTTTGTTCGATGTGGTGTTTTTCGTAATTGGCACAATCTATTTTGTAGATGATGTTTGATTTGTCTTCCTTTGTTATTTCATCCTTTGGTTTGCATAGGATTGATTGTAGTGATTTTGTCGGTTTGTGTGCCACGCCTATTACGAAGGTTTTCAGCAGTCGCGCTGCGGTTTCTGACATGCCTTTTATGTATTGTAGGGCGATCCTTTTGTTGATTTCTGTGCTTGACGTGGGTTCTGATGCTGTGTGCCGTTGGTGCTTTTTGATGAAGTTGATTGAGTAGCTGTTCTTTTGAAACACGTCCTTCAGGTATTTCTCTTCATTTTTTTCGTGCTGCCAGTGTGTCCTTCCCTCTTGAACAAAGTTTGTACACAGTTGATTTTGTGAGCTCTTGGGTTGTTGCTATTGTAGTTGAGAATTTGATCTGTATGGGTCGGTTTTCTATACACTTGAGTCTCCAGTTTTCCTGTGTCGGTTCTAGTGATCAATATATCCGAGAATGATCGTTTGTTTTTTGACTCCTGTTCCATTGTGAACTTGATATCATTGAAAACTTTGTTCATCAGTTTGTAAGTGTTTTCCAGTTCATTCTTTTTGACGATGACAAATGTGTCGTCTACATAGCCAATCCACATTTTTGGCTTGATCACTCGTAATATCGCGGCTTCTAGTGTTTGCATCACTGCCTCTGCGATCAGTCCTGATATTGGTGATCCCATTGGTATCCATTTCGTTCGTTCGTAGATTTTGTTGTTAAATTGAAAATATGTTGTTAGGCATAAATCGATGAGTTCTAGTAGACTTTTAATTTGAAGCATCGTGTACTTAGTGAGATTTGTGTCGTTGGTGAGGAGCAGGGATATAGTTTCTTTTGCTAACCTAGGTTCAAGTAAGGTCAATAACGCCGTTACATAGAAGGATATCATCAGTTCGTCGTTGTTGATTTGAATGTCTTTAATTTGGTCCAGGCATTGTGTGGGGGACTTGATGAAGTAGTTGAATGAATCTAATAAATGTTTCAGTGTTCGTGAAATTTCTTTTGACAAATTGTATGCTGGCGTTCCGAGGAGTGCTACAATTGGACGTAGTGGAATGTTTGGTTCGTGTATTTTTGGTCTGCCGTAGAATCGAGGGCAGACCAAACACTTCACTTCTATCTGAAGTTTGTGCAGATGATGTCATTCAGAAGCACGATGAAAGCCCCACGACCAAATCATCCAGCTCAGAGAACAAAACTCCATCGTAAACCCTATCGACTTGTGGATAAGACCTCTGGATCAAAAGGTCCCTAAGATAACTACATGCTGAATTAAGGATAGAGAGTGAAGTGGTCGATTGCGTTGACAACTTCACTTATCTTGGAAGTCTGATCAGCCCAAATTGGTTGGTGTCTGATGAAATCTCTGCACGGATTCGAAAAGCTTGTCACCTATGGCAAAGGCGAGATATCCGTCCATCAATAAAAGGACGAGTATACTGCGCGGCAGTTCGTTCTGTTTTACTTTACAGCAGCGAAACATGTTCATTAGGAGTAGAAGATACTCGTAAGCTACTAGTACTTGACCACAGATGTCTTAGAAATATTGCTGGCATCTGCTGGGATCATCGGGTAAGTAATGGTGAGGTTAGATGCAGGGTATTAGGGAGTGATGGTAAATAAGTTGATGAGGTTGTGAATCTTCATCGACTGAGATGGTTGGGCCACGTGTTATGCATATCTGAACACCGATTACCACGACGTGCAATGCTAAATGGTGTTGGAGGTGGTTGGAAGAATGTTAGGGGCGGCCAAACCAAAACGTGACATTAGTCCT